TCCCTTGCTGGTTCCGGTTGAGATGTCCCTGGCTCTCATCAGGAGAATCGGTCTTCACCTGAGCCCTGGACATGCTGGCCGTACTGTGTGAGACCCTGAATGGTCTCTGCAATCTCCTGAGCAGATGGCCAGGCACCTGCAGTGGGGGACAGGCCGTGCCACCTTGGTGTGCACTGTGGGTCCCTCCCTCGGCATCTCCTCGCTGCACCTTGGGTGGGGCTCCCGTCGGCCTGGTGTCTGCTCAGCAGGACGTAGAGTGGGCAGGGTGCACTTCCTGGACTATGGACCTGGACTGTTTTGTCTCCTGGCTGCTGGGTGGTCCTTTGCTGGCCCTTGGTGACAGCCTGGCAGACCCCACTCAGGTGGGGAGAGCAGGACTGGGCACCACCGGACACGTGCCAGGCCAGATGCCACTCACTCAGAGTGGACGATGGCCAGTGAGCAGCCACTCCCTGTGGAGGCCAACTGAGGTCAGCCAGGGCAGCAGTGCCCACCAGCCAAGGTCGGTAGGGACATTGGGGCTCCCCAGGGGCCCGCTCTTCCTTACCATCGAGGGCCTTGTCAGCATTTCCGTGGCTTACTGTGGTCCCTGGAGTGCAGGGTGTCACCGCTCTGGTCTTGCTGCCCAGCAACCTGGTGCTCCAGGCTGTGAGGACCACTTTTCCTGCTGCAGCCTGGGGGCCGAGCTCTCGGAGTGGAGGCACCACACCGGCTTCAGAGGCTCCTGCTTCTGAGTGTGGACGCCTGGCCAGGCTCACAGGGTGGGGATGGTGCAGGCCGAGCCCCACACCACCCGCTCCTGTCAGTGTTCCTCATGCAGGTGGGACATCCCCTCATGCATGCCTGGCACACTCAGATCCTTCCAAGGACGTCCTGCCCCTTCCTCCTCACTGCGGACCTGGCACAGGTACACCTGAGATAGTAGGGCCGCTGTTGGAAGCCTCAGCCTCCCTGTGCCCATGGCCCCGGGACTCTCACGCGTGTCCAGCCAGGCCTTGGCCTCCTGGAATAACAGCAGTTGGTGGCCCATTGTCCCCTAACTGGCTCAGGGACTCCCTGTGCCTGTGCAGAGCTCATGGTGGCTCTCCCAGAGGCACAGAGTTTAAAGCCCGGCTCGGCAGTGCAGTGCCTTCTGTCTGTCCAAGCTGCATCCTCCACCGGGAGCCTGAGGGTCACAGAGCTGATGCTGACTGAAATCCTCAGCCTGTCCTGGACCCAGCAGACGAGGAGAGGCTGCAGAGGCACCGACCAGGCCAGTGCCTGTCCTGAGGCCCCACTGGCCTCCCACGGTGACACAGGCCACAGCTGCATGCGGGCCCCGGCCATCGGATCACCAGCAAAGACCCCGGAACTGCCTGGCGCCCACCAGAGACCTCCCCTGCCCTTCCTCCCCACTGTCCCTGACGCTCAGGCTGGTGGTTCCTTGTCCATCTTGACATTCTGCCATTTTGAGGAAAGTACAGATGACAACAGAATCAAAAGACAGAACCAAGAGCACCGAGAATGGAGGCTGGAGGCTGGACGTTCCCTTGGCCCCGGTCCATGATCTGTATCCAGCTGTCGTCAGTGTCTCATCTGTCTGTCATTATCACCATCGCCTCCCTCTGTTGTCCACCTGTCACCTCATAAGCCCATCTTCCGTCCGTCACTAGCTGCCTATCATCTTCCATCCACCCCATGTACTTACCCTCTCCCGCGTCCCCCATCTGTGTCGTCCCTATATCCCCTCCTCCGTCTTCCACCATCTCCACACTGAGTCCCTGCCAGGTGGCTCTTTCCCTGGCTGCCCCATGCCCCCTCGATGTCCCGAGTCCCTGGCTCTGTGACTCTGCTGTGCACCAGGCCGGGCTCCAGCCTCGTCCCAGCACCTGTGTGCTTGCCTGGGGTCACCACATGGACTTGTCCCTGGTGTGGCCAAGTGTTCCGAGTCCTGAGCACGCAATTCAGACCCTCTGCTGGGTCAGCATGCAGGGAGGGTGCGGGGGAGCAGGAAGTGATGTCATGGGGCAGGGGTGCTGCAGAGGCCCCGAATGAGACGGGAGCAAGGGGCGCACCATGGGCCCACAGGAGAAGAGCTGCCTCTGGGGTGCTCCCCTGAGTGTGCAGAGTGACCCTGAGGCTTGAGGGGCTGGCGCCCTGGACTGGGTGCCAAGAGGACTTCACACCTAGTGAGCTCGCCGCTCCCAGCAGGCTTTGTGGGCTCCCACACAGCACAGCCTGCTCTGCACCCTAACCATCCTCTCACCCTTGGACACCGCATCTGTCTCTCTCGGAAAATAGCGATCCTCGGCTGTGTGTTTGCTTCCGTAAGATGTCCCCAGTGCTTCCTGGGCAGAGGCCAGGTCTGACCAAACAAATAAAAGAACAACTGGGTCTTTGGACTTAAACGCTGGTTGATTTTGTGAAGAAAAACCTCACTCTCAACGTCAGACGAGGCTTCAGCACCACAGCCTACAAACCACATCGAGGCTCTGACTCTGCATGATGTCCCGGACCGTGGCTTCCCTGCTGACCGAGCCCCAGGGGTGGAGCTCCCTCAGCGGTCGGCTCCTTCTTGGGGTACAGCCCGTCCTTGCAGGTTTCTGCTGTGCCGCTTCCCCTGCTCCTGGCACGCCTCCTCAGGTGGAGCTGGATCAGGGGCTCTGTGTTCGGGGGTGTGGTGTCCCCGCGGGGCACCCACCCACCCTGTGGCTCCTGGAGAGGACAGGGCCCCACGTGTCTCTGAAGTCACGGGGCAGAGTGACATCAAGTCCCTGGTGTGAGGTGGGGAGCCAGCAGCCTGTCTAGGAAGATGTAGTCTTGGGGCCGGGGGCAGAGGGACAAGGCCAGGTGCCATCGCCTTAGTCGACTACATGGGTCACAGTGGGCTCTGAGGGCAGTTGGCTGTGGCCGTGGGTTAAAGGACCTCACTCCTGCGTCCCTGGAACAGAACAGAGCACATGAGCGATGGTCACTGCTGCTGTCAGAGGGCCCTGAGGTGCTCAGGGTCACCTGAAGCTGGCCACAAGGTCAGGAAGGAGGGGCACGGCTGAGGCCTGGCTCTGAGTCCCTTCCGCAGAGGTGGCTCACGGTGAAGACGGTGACTGCGTTGGGTCAGTGGGAGCGAGACACCATCGCATCTCCTTAATTTTGTACTTGTGCAGAAAGGGAGGCCAAAACCAGCCCTAATGTGACAGCAAAGTGAAAATATTTTGAGTATGCTAATGAGCAGGAATTATCTCCAACACCACTTTTCATTACTGTGGGGTATTAACCCCGGGAGGCTGTCTCACTGCCGATTCATGCCGGAGTCTGCGCTCTGCAGCAAACACGACCAGAGCATCCACCTGGCGCCTCTGCGTGGTGTGGGGATGTGTCAGGAGCACTGTTCCTGCTGGGAGCGGGCAGCCCTGCAGGGCCCAGGAGGTGCAGCAAGCCCCACGAGGGGTGGTCCTGGTCACAGCTCCTGCAGCAGGGGCTTCAGGTCCCTGGGCACCAGGTGGGCATCGAAAGCACAGCTGGCCTTCCCAGCACAGCTCGCACCAACCTCGTGGGCTCATGGTCCCTGAGCTGCTACTGCGGGGCCCCTGAATGGCAGGGTGGTGGGAGCGGTGCTGCTGTGTGCCCCTCAGGCCCCTCTGTCCCTCCTGCCTTCTGACCCTGACTACCAGGGGCAGCCTTCGCAGGCACCGCAGGGACAGCCTGTACCTCGCTGGTGCCGAGCGACCAGGCACCAAGGAGTTGAGGCCAGGAGGGCAGGCGCTGGCACATGGTGCCCAGGAGCCTACCCTTCCGCAGGGCTTGCAGCCCCACTGCACACCGAGCCCTCTCCCCTACTGAGGAGGCTGGGCCACTGGGTGCAATCACTGCAGCCAGTGTGGGCAACAGGCACAGGCTCGTCCCTCCCTGGGCCCTGGGTCATCCTCACCGGCTAGACTTCTTCTTAGCTGACATGCCCAGCATTGCTTTTGTGAGGGAAAACAGTTGGCTTTTTGGCAGTGTGATGTGTAAATGTTAGCATTTCCTCACTGAGGCACAGGTTTCAGAAACAGAAGCGAGGGAAGGCTCAACCCTGGTGGGGGCCTGGAATAGACATGCCTGGAAGAGGCACGTGGGCAGGACTCTAGAGGATGGGTAGGAGTTTGTTACCGAGGGGACAGGGAGCTGGCACAGGCAGTGTTCCAGGTGGCTTTAGTGGGCCAGGTGCCTGGGGTGGGTGGGGACACACACGGCCAGAAGAAAGGAAGACTGAACCTTTCAGGGCTCCTGCCAACCCTGAGGGTTTCCAGCAAGCCCTGGGGTGCCCACCAACCCCTCGGGTACCCGCTGACTTTGCCCTCTGGAGCCGAGGTTGAGGCATGGGCACCCTGTTCCTGGCGGGCAAGGTGGTGAGGGCTGCTCTCCCTGAGTCCGTGTGGGGGTGCCTGCTCTCCTGCTGCTGAGCTGAGTACAGCACAGTGACCACCCCTCTGCCTGTGTGGGCACGGCGTGGACTTTGGGGTCCCATTGGGTTCGGCGTAGAGAGTTTAACACAGGCCAGGCCCCCACTGACGCCCCTGCAGCCCCGCACTCCAAGCCCTAGGCACACAGCCAGGAAGCCAGTGTCCCTGCTGCGTTCATGCTGGAGGGAAGACAGGGCCAGACAAGTAATGCATGCTGTGCAGTGGCTTAGTACTTCAAGAGATGAGAGGCAAGGGCCCACGAGGTGGGAGGCGCTGCTCTGAACAGCTGCAGGGTCTCTCTGGGCAACTCTCATCTGAGCAGAGCCCAGCAGGAGAAGCCCTGTGGTTTTCTTGGGGAGCCCAGCATGTGCAAAGGCCCTGAGGTGGGGCATGGTTTGCAGACTGCAGTGGGCAGAGGAGAGGTGGTGTGAGACAGGTCAAGGACCTGGCCCTCTGCAACTGTGTGGGTTTGAGGTGGAAAGTTGGTACGGCGCCCCTTCGCAGCCTGAGGTGTCCCACTCAGGCCAGGCCCCGTGATTCCTCAGTTGTCACAAGCCAAATCTGTTTCCTCTATTTCAGACCAGCAAGCAAAACATCGATGCCACCAACGGCAGCCACCATGCCTCCCTGCACTGTGCCTTCCTGGACTTCAGGTACTGTCGCGTCAGAGGCGTCAGGGGCAGAGCAAGGGCAGTGGGGAGCACAGTGACGTACATCGGAGCAGGGCAGCATGGCTGCCGGGTCCCGTGGGCTGGAAACACCGCAGGGGTGGAGGGACAGAGGTGCAGGGGCTGCTCCTCTCCCACCCCGGGGTCGGGGTTCTCTGCAGCTTGGGCGCTGCAGTACGGGGACCCTCAGCCAGTTCACTGGAGATGCAGATGGAGGTTGCCACTTGGCAGGGCAGGACCCGATGTCCCCTCTCCCAGGAGGCTGAGGCAGGGGATTCAGAGGCAGCACTTAGCTGGCTGATGTGTCAGGGTCTTAATGCCCGGAACCAACACCCAGGAGTCAGACAGCAGCAAAACAACAAAACCCGATCGCCTGATTAGCAAATGCCCAGCAGACCTCAGTAGACATTTGCTGAAGGGAGAGGGACAGGGGCCAGCACTCCACATGGAGGAGACAGAGCCACCGCCCACAGCAAGCGCTGCCTGCGGAGCTGCAGCGGTCCGGAGCGCCACGGGTCAGCCCCGGTGGGGCGTGGAGGAGCGGCCCGGAGTCAGCCGCGGCCTGGCCTGGCGATGGTGCGCTCCGTGACCTCAGACCGCAGCCGCGCACCGCGCCGACCAGAAGCAGGGAAGTCGGGGCGAGAGACCGGCACACCCACGTGTTTCACAGCCCTGCTCTCAGCACCCAGAAGCAGCAGGGCGAGGAGTGGACGAGGATCTCGCGCCCTTCCGCCCGCGTCTTCCGATCCCCTTCCCAGGGTGTACGCAGACGCCCGGAGAACCGCGCTGTCCAGTGCGCC